AGCTGCTGTCTGTAGTTTCATATTTTATGGCACAGACATGAGATAACTTTCTGTAATAACGATCATATTTCCCAAAAATGAGTCATTTTAAAATACGTAAACGTTTCCATTATTGTTGATTAACCATCCGATTATTTTCTCACTTAAACATTTTCCTACAGCCCACAGTCACATTCCTTCTTTTTGATTGTCCAGTAGTTAGAAACTAAAATAAATTCAGGTTTACAGTCACATACGAGAAAGAAAATACCACATTTTAGACGCCATAACAACCAGGAGATGTTTGGTTTGATTGCCTGAAAACTGACTTTAATTCATCGATTTTTAAAATACTTGCAGATGAATTTTCTGTCGAGAATTCAGATTGAATGTAAAAGTTTGTGAGAGTTTCTTGAAATGGCCCCTTTAACACAGACAGGTGCCTCAAACAGGACGTCTCCCCCCCTCCCCTCTCATTGGCTGTCTTTTTGCTCCTGAATGCCGGTCAGGCCAATCGCGTCTCCTCCCTCCCCTGCTGCGTCCCGCCCGCCTGAATCTTCCCCCTCCTCCGTCCGCGGCGCTGCTGCACTCCGCTCTCGACCTCCAGGCTGTCTGTCAGGGCTCTCTGTGTGTGTGTGTGTCTGTGGATGTGTGTGTGTGAGTGTGTGTGTGTGCTGTAGAGAGGTGGCGGGGAGGGAAAGTGTGTGAGGAGATTTAAAGAACGAGTAGAGAGGAAAAAAAGACACTGCAGAGGAGGAGAGCGGTGGTTTCTGGCTTTGTTTTGTTGTTCCTGATGGAGAGAAAGTTTAGGGAAGTAAAGACATGGTGATGATGATGGTGATGATGATGATGATGATGAGGATGGCGGGCTTCCCTCAGCCTCCCCGGGCTCAGGTCAGTGGATGCTGTCTCTGTAGAGCTGTGTGAGAAAATTCATGCTCGTGCTGTGTTCTCCAGCCTGTTGGTGGTTTCCAGTTTCCAGACTGTGTGTGTGTGTGTGTGTGTGTGTGTGTGTGTGCGCTGCCAAATGTTACAGGAACAAACTGTGATCAAACAAGCAGTTAAGTTTTCCAACATTCAGTCTGTAACGATGTGTTCAGATTGAATATTGATGCAACAAGCTGTGGCCTGTTGGATTCACTAATATCTCCAATTTTATCGATCGAGTTTGACTGTAAAATATGAAAAATAACAAGTTCTCAGAGCCCAATGTGACGTCTTATAGTTTATTATTATTATTATTATCTTTCACAATGAGTTACAAAACCACAAATAAAGTGACTTTACGGTGGGGATTTTACTTCAGTTTATCTTCTTTTGGTCTAAGAAATGTGCTGAGTGAGCAGTTGAGGGTGCTCTACAGATTTTCTGAGATATAGGTTATTTTAACTTATGACTGTCCTTTTAATCCCTGATTCATCACACCATATTGTACAGTATTATCATGGTATGGCTGATGAGATGCACAGGATAAGTGAAGTCTGGGTTCATTTCCAGCATATATTTCATATTGTCTCTGCTGTGACCTTTCTGACTCACGTCTCTTCTGTCATCTGTCACTGTGCAGGTGACCAAACTAGGTTCCCTTCTACGGCTTTAACACAGTTAGGAGGCAGAAACCACTTAATATTATCTATTTCTTTACCTGTTACATGACTTTAATTAATCTCTGTGGATCACTGATGGCTGACAGTTTGCAGAAGTACAAGAGGATGACTTAAAGGTTTAAAAATACTTGAGTGTGTGTTGGGGGCGGGGGGGGAGAAAATGAGAAGTTA